TAGGTTGGTGCCGCCGTCAGTTGATATGCCCTCTGGGACGCCCCATCGTGCAAAGTACTGGTGGAACAAGACCATTATCCTACTTGATGTAGCACCATGGGGCAGGTGACTAATCTCTAGCCAGCCTGTGCACCTGTCAGCATACACAATGTACGTCTGTCCCTCTAGCTAGAACAGGTCAGCAACCGTGAACTGAAATGCATACTCTGGTGAAGGGGTCAAGATGAGAGGTTCAGCTGCTCAAGATGGAGTGTATGTGTTGCAGTTGCTACAGGCATCACGGTAGAACTGCAGGTCACCTTCCATTCCAGGCCAGTACACTGCCTGCCTTGCCCTCCGAAACATGCTGTCAAGTCCTTGGTGACCTACATGGAGGTTGGATGCGACCTGATGATGTAGAGCCTCTGGTATCACAAGGCGGACAGCTCCCTGGTCAAACGTGTATGTCACCAGACCCTGCCAAACAGCTAGCCTGTCCCTCATGTTGTAGAACTGACGCAGACAGGCCATTTCCTGAGCACGATGTTGGTGCCAATCACTTGCAGACACCTTGGTTATTAGCAGCTGACACTCCAGGTCCTTGGAGGCAACGTGCTGCACGGTGGTGTAGTCAAGTGTGATGCAGTCATCCCCAAAAAGTGCAGTAGTGGTTGCAGCAGCCACAGCGACCTCCAGGTCGTCTGCTTGGTCCTTATCTGCGGCCTCAGGCAGCGCACGGAGCGCTGGGTAGCGGGACAGAAAGTCAGCTGCATGGTTTCGCTTGCCTTCTAGAAACTTTACTTGAAACCTGTATTATAACGTCTTTTCTTTGAGGGCGAAAAGCCTGGGGTTTACAATGCTGTCTCCCAAAAGCTTAACCAGTGGCCGGTGTTCAGTAATAATGACAAGGTTAGGGCAGACAAGCAGGAACAGCCGTACCTTGCGAAGACACCAAGCCACTGCCAGAGCCTCACCCTCCACTGGAGCATAACTTGTCTCAGCAGGTGTCAGATGGCGGCTGCCACACAGTGCGAGGCGCCACCCGCTCTTGCAGCAGAATGGGGCATCCCTTGCTGAGCAGTCACAGTACTGCTGCAGGATAATGAACCCTATGCCCACTTTACTCCAGTCCGTAATAGCGATGGTAGGTCGCTCCTTGTCATGAAAGGTCAGGCCGTCCTTAGCCAGCTGGCATACCACGTCTTTTGCTCGTAGGAATTTCTCCTGAAGCTTTGAGTCCCAGTATACCCGCTTGCCTTGTGGTTTCTGCAGCAGCTCCCTGAAGGGCTACATAATTTGTGCTGTAGCTAAAAATGGTGCTAGTTGGTTGACAAATCCATACCACGAGCGAATGTCCGTCAGCGAAGGCATCTCTGGCATGCTGAAATTCCTAATTGCTGCAAGACGTTCATCAGTAGGCTTATAAGAGTCCCAGCCTACATGGAATCCCACAAAGTCAAGTTCCCTCCTGCAGAACTTTTTTTTCTTTCAGACAAACTAGTATTTACTCTATGTTTGCATGAAAATGGCTGCTAGATATACGAAAGACGGACCCAACAAACGTACCGAAATATGATTCCAGAACTGTAGCTTCAGGATTTTGCCAAAGTGTTGGTCTTGTTCAATATTTGCGATGACCTGGAAAGCATTGCAGGGGTTCACGAAGACCTTGAAAGCATTACGCGCGCTTCTTTAAATGATAATCGGCGGTGTAGTGGATATTTATAAACTCCGTAGGGGCAAGGGATGCCCCATTCTGCTGCAAGAGCGGGTGGCGCCTCGCACTGTGTGGCAGCCGCCATCTGACACCTGCTGAGACAAGTTATGCTCCAGTGGAGGGTGAGGCTCTGGCAGTGGCTTGGTGTCTTCGCAAGGTACGGCTGTTCCTGCTTGTCTGCCCTAACCTTGTCATTATTACTGAACCCGGCCACTGGTTAAGCTTTTGGGAGACAGAGCATTGTAAACCCCAGGCTTTTTGCCCTCAAAGAAAAGACGTTATAATACAGGTTTCAAGTAAAGTTTCTAGAAGGCAAGCGAAACCATGCAGCTGACTTTCTGTCCCGCTACCCAGCGCTCCGTGCGCTGCCTGAGGCCGCAGATAAGAACCAAGCAGACGACCTGGAGGTCGCTGTGGCTGCTGCAACCACTACTGCACTTTTTGGGGATGACTGCATCACACTTGACTACACCACCGTGCAGCACGTTGCCTCCAAGGACCTGGAGTGTCAGCTGCTAATAACCAAGGTGTCTGCAAGTGATTGGCACCAACATCGTGCTCAGGAAATGGCCTGTCTGCGTCAGTTCTACAACATGAGGGACAGGCTAGCTGTTTGGCAGGGTCTGGTGACATACACGTTTGACCAGGGAGCTGTCCGCCTTGTGATACCAGAGGCTCTACATCATCAGGTCGCATCCAACCTCCATGTAGGTCACCAAGGACTTGACAGCATGTTTCGGAGGGCAAGGCAGGCAGTGTACTGGCCTGGAATGGAAGGTGACCTGCAGTTCTACCGTGATGCCT